ATGAGATAGAAAAATAAATCTTAATAAAAAAAAAGAAAAACATTTTCCGATTTGTCCTATGTTACAGCCCAAGACGTGGTTGGAGGAAGAATTCATTCCGTTCCATGGGACAATGGCTGGATAGATTACGGAGCGCAATTTTTGCACGGTGACAAGAGCAGGCTTGCTCAGTATTGTCTCAGCAATGATTTACTATCGAACATTCAAGGTACGGATGGCGAAGGGATTTTCTTGCGGGACGACGGAACGATAATGAGCGAGAGCTTGGTTCGCGAAATCGACGATCTCGTACGAACTGTCTCGGATGATATTTGTGAATCTCAAAGGCCTTTGAAAAAGCATGAGAATATCGGTTCTATCATGAAAAGTAGATTTGAGGATTATTTACGCGAAAGAGACGATTCGCCGGTGGAGAAAAGGATGAAGCAGGAAATTTTCGATTGGAATGTACGGTTCCTCCTGGTAGATAACTGCTGCCACTCGTTGGACGATTTATCGGCGGTCCTTTGGGGAAAGTTTAAGGTAAGCTCAAATTTTACATTGCTATTTCAGAAATAAGCACTGCATAAAAAACAACAATAATTCTCACAGTACGTTGGCGGACCGGAACATTTGCTCTTCAAGTCCGGGTACGGTTCCTTGACGAATCTTCTCGTTGACAGTCTGGATGAGCGAAAAGTGCGTTTAGCCACTCCTGTGGAGACCATTTTTTGGCAGGACTCCGTTGATTCTCCAAACGATTCTCCAATCATTGTAAAGACTTTCGAAGGGACGCAAATCCTCGCTGATGCGGTAATAGTCACTTGCTCGCTCGGGTATTTAAAAGAGAACCACAGGAAGATGTTCCAGCCGCTGTTACCGAGTCGTCTGAGCGTCGCTATTGAGAATCTAGGTTTCGGAACCATCAATAAGATTTTTCTGGACTTTGGCGAACCTTGGTGGCAGAAAGGTGTAAACGGTTTCCAGTTGCTCTTGCCCAAGGACACCGATCACTGCACTCCTTGCCGGAATGGACCAAGGACCTTACTGGATTTGACGTTTTGCCGATTCACCCAGCCACTCTTACAGTGTGGGTCGGTGGGCGAGGAGCGTGTATCATTGAGGATTTGTCGGAGGAGGCGATTGCTCAAGATTGTATGAACTTGTTGACACATTATTTGCGGTGTCGCGATATCCCGCCAGTGAGAAAATGCGTTCGAACCAAGTGGAACGGGAATAGTTACGTGAGAGGCGGTTATAGTCACATCACAAAGAGCTGCGAGGAGGATGACGTCTCTCCTAGAACATTGGCCGAGCCAGTCTGGGCGACAATGTTGCAGACTGATACGAAGAGGAAAAAGGTGAAATTATCGTACAAAGTTTGCTCAGTGAAGGCAAGTCCCCTGTTATGAGATAGACTCCTAATATGAGAGCGGGGGATTCTGTTGAATTAATAAGCATCGTCTGTCGATTCCACTATGAATTTCTTGCCCTTAGAGCGAAATCTGTCTGTGAAAAAATTCATTCTTAGATTGTATAATTGTTGTAAAAAAAGATTTGTGATTGAATTTGGATTTTGAAAACCTGCTGTCTCATATTCGAAACTTACCTCATAACAGAGGACTTTCCTCTATTTTTTAAATCTTAAACGAGATTTTATAGACTCAAAAGATAATTTATGCGATGGATTTTCAAAGCTTTTGGTGCTATGTAATCAAATAATGCAAAATTAGATATTAAAAGAAACGAATCAAACTTTACCATCCAATTTATAAATATTTGCAAATATGACAGAATTTACCAATCATACTGTTTGCCGGCGAAGCTACGCATGACGAATTCTACTCGACGACGCACGGAGCTTACGAAACAGGACTCCATCAAGCCGAAGTATTTTTAAAACATCATGCGAATATTAAATAAATATATCGCTATGTAGATATGTAAATATACTAGCGGAATAAAACTTTTTAATTGTTTGCGCCATAAGACATTTAATTTCTGTTTATTACAAAGTCATTTAATGATAAGATTTTCGTACTATTTTGTGTGCGTGTGTATATGCTCTATGTTATAATTTATTATATATATATTAAATTGTTTAATTTATTAAATATCAACTGACAACTGACAGACGTCTGATTTCCCAAATTTATTTAATAACTTTTATTTCTACCTCTATTTTTATCTCTTTGCACAACGCTGTTACACTTTCATTTTTTATTCCACAAATATATTATTTCTTATATCTGCATATTGTTGACCCAGACAGCACACCATGTCTAAAAGACGTCTAGTCTAAAAGACGTCTTAAAGATGTCTTTATGATGTCTTTTAGATATGTGTGCTGTCTGGGGAGTTACCGCATTGATTTTTTCCTGTTTTTTTTTTCATTATCTCCTTATCTCATCAAGTTTTGCGGAATACGCTAACTGGTTTCTCAGCCTCGGCCAAGTGCGTCAGAATTGGAGATTCCCAATTGACCAATCAAACGTTGATTGAAGCGAAACAGCGTTCACTTGACATTTATCCTTGGGCGAATGTCGATCCATACATCTTTCGTTTCCTTCGTTACTATTTTCTTTATCTCAAGAATGTTACGGAGCAAGGGCAGACTTCGTGTTTTCAAAATACATCCAGTCGTTATGAATACTTAAAATTTATAATTAGCGATTAGTATCGTTACAACATTAAGAATCAATGTTAAATCTTTCATTGATTTTGTTACTAAGAAGTCTTCTTTTTAATATCTACATTATTAACATAATCAACGTGCATAATTAAAAATTTAAATATAACTGTATATACCTTATGGATGAATATTGAAATACCCATAGTCAAAATATATATATTGCGTTTTTACCCATACAGCACAAACTTCCAAGGGACGCCCTCAGAACATCTCTAGGACGTCCTTAGGACATTCTACGTCCTAAGGACGTCCTAAAGATGTTCTGAGGACGTCCCTTGGAAGTTTGTGCTGTATGGGTAATTATACTTTATGCACTTGCAAAGTTACTATTATGTTAAACAATCTAAATCATGTTTGTTGCAAGTTTAACAGACATGCAAAATGTCTGTCGAGATGTTCTGATTTAATTCTTTCTGCGGTAACGACTTGTTTTCAATTGCGATTAAACTTTCTACTGGAAATTACATATTGATATCTTCGATGAGGTCATGACCTCAGTTGGACCGTTCCCCACCCTGGCCTTCTACGCGCTCTCTCCTCTTTTTCTCTTTCTACCTGTTTTACCTATCGTTTTACTTCTTCCATGCTCTTCTCTGTAAACTTAGAAGGGAGAGACAGGAAAGAGAGAAAGAGAAAGAGAGACGCACGCAGATTCCACAGTCGCCGACAATCTCGCGGACAGTTCATCTCCGTCGTTAAATAGCTGGACATCGAATACTCGATATCCTTGTGGCTCTCATATCTCTCGTCAGTGATGAATTTTGGTTTCGTTCCGGTTGTTGTAATTTTTCTGACGCTTGATGTGGTCCCCGTCCGGTTCACTGGTAGGAAAAATTCAAGAAGAAATCGTTCCCAGTATTGTGTTGTGTATTCGTCGCCAATGCGATTCCGTGAATTATTTTGCGTTGTTAGACATCATTATCGCGTTATTGTTGCGGACGTTGTTATTAAATCTATCTACATTGAAGAATGCATATAAAGAATGAGTATTCTGAGAATAGTGTAACGTTGTTATGAAGAGTTTTAAGTTCTCCGATTCTGTTGTTTGCATTCTTCTAAAGTTTGTTCATCCAAAAATTTTTATATTTACACACTTAAATTTTAATGTTGTACATTAACATATAAAGGAAATACAAATAGATATTGTATACAGTGCCGACCGAAAGTTCCGGGCCATCTAAATAATTTTTGAATGGTTTGAAATATAAGATGGAAAATTTTTAGGGATACAATGAGATCACAAAGTCTATTGCTTAATCACAAAAACACCCACCACCACACACCCGCAAGCCGGGGGGAAGGGGAGTCAAGAAATCTTAACTGGCATGTACGTGGGGTTGAGTGAGGGCTCGTTCGAAAGGGCTTTCAGAGACGAAAACAACGCGAGGTCGCCGAGGTCTCTACGATTTTTTTTCTCGCTGAGTTATGATCATTTGAACACTTTTATTGAGATTTTGCGATAGCGAGAGCCCACGGCGACAACAGAAGAAAGCTAAGGTTTCACGCGGACACGCGTGTCTTGAGAGTGTGTGAGTATGTGGCGAGGGGGGGCGTGCGCCCGCGCGTGTGAGTGTGTGTGTGTGTGCGTGTATGTGTGTGTCACACAATATAAGAAACTCGCGATTCGTAACTTCCACCGTATTTAATGACTCCAAATCCTCTCTGTTTTGTGTGTGTGTGTGTGTGTGTGTGTGTGTGTGTGCGCGCGCGCGCGTGTCCGGCCAACCAAGGCAAGACCGCTAGCGTTTCTAGACATCAATTTGAACATTTCATAAAATAATTAGCGTTTTTATTTCTTCACTTACACCAGTGTTCCCATCCCAGTCTTTTCTTAGTGACCGGACACGCACACGCTCGCTCGCGCGCGCACGCACACGCGCGCGGGTACACACACACACACACACACACACACACACACACACGCACAACAGAGAGGATTTTGAGTCATTAAATACGGCGGAAGTTACGAATCGTGGGGTTCTTATATTGCGTGACGCACATACACACACACACACACACACACACACACACACGTACACACATGCGCGCGTGCCCGCGTGATACACTGATGCCAGCAGAGAATGTTTGCCACATCGCGACAGCAGTGGTGGGGATAGGAGTGGGGATGGCTCCTGTGCCGCATACATGCTATGTGCTGCATGCGTGCGCACACACATACGGCACGTAGCTTGTATGCGGCACGGGAACCATCCCCACCACCACTGTCGCGATGTGGCATTGTCGCGTTTGTGGCTAACGTTCTCTGCTGGCAGTGGCAGCAGTCATCAATGCGTTTGTTTTGTAGCTAAATAATACTTTGTGATCCCATTGTATCCCTATAAATTTCAATCCTATATTTCAAACTATTTAAAAATTATTTAGGTAGCCCGGAACCTTCGGTAGGCGTGAACAATTTATAAAAATATCGTATATCTTTACCTTTGGATAACTTTTGTCTTGTATATATTTTAGATGGCTCTTCGGAGAAGTATTTAGTTGAACTCAGTCCGAACATCAGCCAGAATCCTTTTCTCCAATTCGTAACTTCTACCAGTGCTCAAAACAACAACAAACTTGGAAACCTCTTGTCACATAGTTCTCCATCACATGCTCCATCACAGGCTCCTCCCAATGCAGCGCATTCTAATGGTAATTATTTCTTTCCTAATAATCCCAAAAATCCCTTCTTGAACCCTCCTGGAACCACCCCAAAGCTTGATGTACAACCTCCACCAAGGCCTGTTACACAAAAATCTTACGTACCACTGCACCAAGATTTCTATTTTCCACAAGACAATATTATATCAGTATTTACACCAGCACCAGTTTATAATGACATTACAATGTCTCGTACGCATTCTCCTCCTCAAGGAGGAGGTCACCCTCCAGGCTACTCTCCAAGTAGCTCCATTCTCTCTGCAGACACACGTCCATCATTGGCGGATCTGATATCTTACCCGAGGAATGCAGAGAAATCAATATCAGAATTTAGTAAGTAAAATGTGATTGTATAGTTCAAGAACTTGTAGAATTAAAAAATTTAAGATATAAAAATCTGCAAGTATAATTTAAACTTTTAGATTTTTAACGAATATACGTGTTTACAAGTAACAGGCAAGATATTCAGTCTCGTAAATGGCGCTTTTTTCTTTATATATTCAATATCAGCCACTATAATATCTACAAAATAAATTTCAGAGTGCGCTGAATATGCGGGAGAATTAGCGGGCACGACCTTGATATCGTATCTGGTATCTTCCGGTCAATTGTCACCCACGCTCAGATTGAATAATGTTTGTGACAAAGCGAATCATTTGGTGGTCGGTGGTACCGAGGCCTTGGTCAGCGAGTTCCCTCACATGGTCGCCTTAGGTAGACCTAGTTCCAAGTTCATCGTGATGTGTGGCGGCACGCTGATATCGCATACCTGGGTTCTTTCCGCTGCGCATTGTACTTTTGGACCAGAGTATACTTTTGTCATTTTTTTTCGTTTTAAACTATTTAGGGCCTGAATAGAATGGCTATCTTGTACTCAAGACTAGACGAGACAATGTTTTAAATCTTTGTCTTGAAGTGACGTATAATATAATAACACGAAAAAATCGTCATTTTAGTTTTCTATCTGCCGGTTGTTTTATGGCAAGGATAAACTTTCGAAATTCGAAGATTCTCAAAACGAATTCCGTAGTATTTCTTCAATATGGACATGTTCTACATCTTCAGAAATCTGCTGATCTTTTAATTCAAATATATTAGAAACTGTGGATTTAAAATATCTATAATATTAAAATTACAATTATTTAAGGGTTTCTTGACAAAGTTAGTCCTTTATAATGTATATTTTTGCAGGGACGGATTTCCAACTCACGCAAAAATAGGCTTCCATAATGTGACGGATAAGAATGCCATCATAACGGCCATTAAAAATACGATAAGACATCCGCAGTACGATCCACCCAAAATGTATGCGGATATAGCTCTGGTGCAACTTACAGATAAAGTCACGTTCGCTTACAAATCTATACGACCCGCCTGTCTTTATCAGGTATACGATCCCGTACCTGAAAAAGCCTGGGTTAGCGGCTGGGGCCGTACCGAATACGGTAGATAATCCAATTATTTTTGGCGTGAAAACTTGAAAGCTACGGAATCATGGAATTTGAAGAATTATAGAGCTAAATGAATGTAAAACTCTAGATCAAGAACTTGTACCAAGTGATTCCCAGTAGATGTAAAATTCTTTATAGGAGTTAAAGATTTTTGTAAAAGTACCGATTTAAATTAAATTATGCTTTCAGTTGGAAATATTAGCGATGTACTGCTAACAGCTGAATTGAATATAGTAGACAATTTGGAGTGCACGAGAAAGTACAATAGTTCCTTAGAAATTCCAGAGGGTATCAAACCAAGTATGATCTGTGCCGGTGATCCTAGTGGTAAAAAAGACTCTTGCCAAGGAGATTCCGGTGGTCCTCTGCAAATAATCCATCCTGACAAGTGTTTCTTCCAAGTGGTCGGTATTGTCAGCTTTGGTCAGCCCTGTGGGTTGACCACCATCCCCGCCGTTTATACCAAAGTGTCCCATTACATTACATGGATCGAAAGTATTGTTTGGCCGCGAGGACAATAATCGTAGTTTATTCGACTTTTGCGAAAGGTACCAAAAACATCCTTTATTAAATTGTACTTGGCTAAAATCAAGTCTTACACAAATAGTTATCAAGTAACTAGTCAGTCAAATTAATTAAAGACTAAGACTATGGCATGTACAAATTTTTCTCTACTCAACTTACGTGATATTCATTTGACCATGTAAGAACAATTCTGTAATTTCAGAAAAGTTTACTCGCTCAAATTATTGCTTCCTGAAAAATTAGACAATTGCAAATGGTTAATTGTACATATGCCACTTCAATTAACTATACATATAGTAATACAGTCGAACATTCTGTGGTTCTGACTAGAATATTGGAACGTAAGAATAGAGAAATTGCGAGGAGATATGGATTATAGACTGTGGGACTGACAGACTTAAGCTTCAAAAATCAAGAGATCTTGCTGTCGTGAACAGTTCGCCACGTAAGCCCGTCGCCGTAAGGGCCATGGATCGATGGGAGCAAGATATGCCACCAGTTCCTGCAACAACAAAGATTTAGATTATAAGAATAATTAGACGAAGTTTTTGACGATAAGAATAATGCAAAAATAACATATTTGACAAAGTGCCAATAAATACTTATACGCTAACCAAAATTTGCAATAGCTATTATTAATTTCCAATTTCTCTCAAATTCGAAATTAGTCATCTCAACATCTCAAAGGCGAGATGTTTAGCATAATCAGTGTTTAAATAATGTAGTAAAGTTTAATTAACTTTGCAAAATTTAATTTTTTAAGTTAACTTTTTGTCCGAAAATTCTACGACAGTGATATGTTTTATCATTATTTCTCTCGTTTAGCCCATCATTAATGATTCACATTACTGTATTTTAACTGGAAATCACTAGAGTATTTAATGTTTCAGATTTCTTTTGCTAAATCTTCCAATACCTATTTTTTGTTCCTAAGAACAATCTCCAGTTCTCCCTCGGCCCAAAGTCGTACGGATTCTGATAAAACTTATTCTGAGCTTGATACTTCTTCGATTCAGCGCTGTTGATGTGCGCCTCGATGCTCGTCTCTCCCCGGGTGATAAGACCCGCGTGCCACCAGGCTAGGGCACCGAGGGCCGCGAATGTGGCAATACAGATCAAACCCGCGAAAATTATTAGTCTTTGTCGCCATTCTTTGGCCTCAGTTTCTGCCGCCTGTCTTGCTTAGTCCCAGTCTACAATAGATGATTTAAGCCCTAAGCTTTAAGAAATTGGCCAATCACGGTCAAGTATGAGAAGAATGCGCGACTGTGATTAGTCAATTTCTTAAGGCTTAGGGCTTAAATCTCTATTGTAGACTGGGACTTACTCTGCCAGCTCCTCTTTACTCAAGTGATCCAAGGAAACCACGCGAATAGCCAGTCGACTTGCAACGTTTCTGTGAGAGCAGAATTTTCGCACAGGTTTCTCTCTTTCGAGTGAATTCAAGAGTCGAGCCCCTTGGGGGTGGAAATGTCATCGAGGGGAAAATGCACGAGGTATACGCGATGTCGGGAGCAACCATTTATATGTTTATTCGCACGTGCGATTCTCATAAATGCGTGACAATGGCCGCGTTCAGCAGACACAACTGTTGAGTGAGCGCTCAATGATTTCTTAACGTGATTGGCTGGATCTAAAAGTATTAACCAATCATACTGATCGCTCACTCAACAGTTGTGTCTGCTGAACGCGGCCATTCGCGCGATTTGCGTCGGAAGCGTCGGAAGTTAGAGGAGAACGCGCGGACATTGCCGCCATCTTTTACGAGCGGCACTTTCAAACTCAAAAGTTGTCGGCAACATCGGCGAACGCGTGCGGACTGGGCCGCTTTCGCGAGAAAATCAAATTGATCCAGATTAAAATGACCTTGTGCTATGACTGGTCAAATCTGGAATTTCGTTGAATAAAATTTCAGTGTGACGCTATAAAATTTCAGATTTGACCAATCATAGCACAAGGTCGTTTTAATCTGAATCATTTCGATTTTCTCGCGAAAGCAGCCCTGGTGCGGACCCGTTTATTTGAGAATCTCTAACATATATGAGAAAATATAAAATCAAGCCTCTTAAAAATATAAAACACAAACGTGCACGTAAGTGCTTGTATCTTAATTTTTTTATACATAGAAAAATGTAAACTTTAGGAGCTTAATATAGTCACCAGTTTAATGGAAATCTAAGAGAGAACGAATTGAACTTCTATTAAACTCTTGAAAGCACAGATATGTATATTCTGAGATTTTTCATATTATATTCGAAGAATTTAATAGACGTAACGATTCGTGGTACAAAGGTAGATTTATTTTCTCACAGGTATGCACGAGTGTACATGCGTTTTAACAAAAGTGCATACACGTATATACACGCTACACGCTAATCTTGTTAAACACGCAAAAGGCGCATTTTGCGTTTACAACGCCGAGAAACTCGCACTTGTATTTGCGAGCGAGAATAAATTCATGGAATGTTTTCAACAGTCGATTTTATATATACATATATATTACATATGTTATATATGTATATATATAGTTTCGTTTCTGTAAGAAGGGTTAAATATTAAACCTCAACAATTTGAGAACAAGTGTAATAAGTGGTATCGACACTTTATCTGCCATGAAGATCGAAATAGAACCATAAAAGGATACCTGTCTTTAGAAGTCATGCGTGAAATACTTATGATTGATAGGATTGATGAATGTTTAAATAATTAAGAATTTCGTGAGACCGCAGTGTTCAAAACATTTAAAAAATTCGCGAATAATTAAGATCACGTGAGACCCGAGACTGCAATGAAATTGAATTCTTGAAGGAAAATTTTAAAGCGAAAAATATATAATGATATTAAGAGATTCGAAAAAATATGAGAGAGAGATATATTAGTTTTGACGGCACGTATGGCAGACAACGAGTTACCTTAACTTCGATAATAATTATATGTTGTATATTAATATCATTAATGTTATATAATAATAAGGTACAGGATAATCACAAGAGGTAAAGGCCAAGTAACAACACAGGGCAATGTTGGTTGCCCCTCATCTGGCCTGAGAAGAGTACTGCTTTGTAATCGATGACTTAAAAGTCCAAATTTGGCATTCACGATAGTACATTAAGATTGAAAGATCAAATTTGGAAATCTTAAAGAACTAGGGCAGACTTGCGCCTTCGAAGGATCAATCGATTAATACGTATTTAAGATCCCGAAGGTTTAAACATTTCGCAAACACTAAGCGAATATCATAGCGATCTTCTAAAAATATACGAGCCAACGGAAACATTTTTAAGAAGAGAGACGCACGTTTTTTTTGTGAAGTCGTAAGAACATTCGAATTAAAATCGATTATCGATTTTAATTAAATTCCGAATACCCTTTCTGCCTTTGCAGATCAAATTCGTTTATCGATTACTTTTAACTCATCTATTTCTGGCAAGGGCTCGAGCATCTGAACGGACTGATGATCTACTTACTTTGACATAATTAATGAGTGATTTAATAATTTTGTATAATATAACAATTTGAGATATTTTATAACTTCAACGTTTCAAAAATTCTCAAAACTGTGGAATTTCAAGAAACTTAGAAGGGGGCTAAAATCGTCGATTCTCTCAGATTCTCAATCCGTTGAATGAAGTATCGGAAGTGTTGTACTTGAAAGACTGGGTAGGTGTAAACGAGGTACATACATATTTACAAAGACACGTGCGAAAGGGTTCTCCAGGGTTCGTTCTTTTCTTAAAGATACGTCTCGAGCAATGACACTCCGGTTGGTCGCATTTGATTTTCTGTTCCCGTAAATATTGAATTATTGCACCTTGCTTGAATCGCAAACTCGCGATTCGCAAACAGATTTATGCTGCAGTTCTAAGTAAAATCGTAAGACTCGCAACTAGTTTTCGAGAGATTAATAAAAGACTCATAAAAAGTAACTGACGTGTAATATCTGCAATTCTACCGTATATTCTGCGAGTGACTGTATGATATACGGTACGCATAAAATCGCAGACTACTCATAAGTTAGTTCTTATGAGTCTTAAGATTTTGCTTAGAATTGCAACATTAATTCGATTTTTCCTGTCTTTCTTATATATTTTTAAATGTTTTCAATCAACTTTAACGTTTTCTCTTATATGTACAATCATTAAATTATTGAAAATTTGTGTATCTTCCTTATCTACATAAAGAGAGGCAGGTAGATCGATGGAAAGATATTTTACACGATATTTTATAGTCATTGCTCAAAGCGTAGTTGATAATCTGAAATCTCCGACGAACGCTAAGATTTCATAATACGGTGTCCAGAGTATCGAGACTTCGCAGCAATTGCTCGTCCTTGGAACACCACTGTACCAGCTCTTCGATGGTCACCACGCCGTCCTTATTCGCGTCCATCAACTAAAAATATACACGAGACATTAGTTTTAACCAATATTTAATAATTCAATGTGCGCGGTATAATTAAAAACTCTGATGAACTACATAATTCAAGGTTTTTAGATTAATTAGTGGGATTGTAAAATTAGTAACTAGGTCTTGGAGGATCGCAGAATGCTTCTGTCAATTATAATTTTTAAACTTTAACCAAACTATATAATTATACATATGTAGTTTATAAACGTTTAATAACGTTTTTAAACTTTATCTCGTTATTATCTTTGGGTATGTTTTTAGAGACTTTTGTTTCAGCCAATTAAGGTTGTCGCATTAGTACTGACGTGAAAGATGCGATCGACGTGCTCGCGGGCGGCCGCATGTGGCTCAAGGATTTGCGGTTGCGTGTAACGACCCAGCATCTCGTAAATGGAGCCGACGACGTCCAGCATTTCCTCTTTGCTTATCAGACCATCGCCATCCAGATCGTACAGGCCAAATACCCATTGCAGCTTCTCCTCGACCGAACCTCTCGACACTTTCGACAGTATGGTGAGAAACTCCTATTAAATAACATTTAAGTCTGAAACTGTGGGCTCTTCTGGAGAATTTGAATAGAATCGTCTATTTTACAAATTTGGAGCAGAGCTTGAAATACCGCGGGAACAATTGCGCATTTCTTTTAAAGCGTAAACACGTCGCTCACCTCGAAGCTTATCTTGCCGGACGGTTTCCTCTTCATGGTGTTGAACACATAATGAGCGTACTGACTTGCGTCTACAACACGTGATGATCAGAATGGCAATGATAAAAATTCTACGAATTTCTCGTATTACACAACAGACTCATTTGCCTAATGAAAAAGATATGGATCTGAAAAAAGATGCTTATCCGTATTAAAAAAATCATATAAATTGATGCTTATCATCTCATTTCAATTCCATTAATGCTAAGTCAGAAAGTGACAAAAGAATCTCATATGAACGTTACGAAATCTTAGGAAGATGATAGAATATTATTAAAAAATATCGTTTTTACCAAAATAAGAACGGAAGTCTATTTTATTCCAAATCTACAATGATAGAAAGAAGGACGCTTGTATTCATGGTACAACAGAGCGTACGAAATTATCATCATCTTCATTATCATTCTCATCATCATCGCTTTATTACCTCCCTGCGGAAAGAATTGCGAGAAGATCTTCTTAAAAGCATCTTCGTCGACCAAACCGGTTGGGCACTCCTGCTTGAAGCCCCGGTAGATGAGTTGAATCTCCTTCCGGGAGAATCTGGTGGTGGCCGCGAGGGTGGCGAGCTCCTCCGGCTTGTGTCGGCCGCCGAGGGCGAGCGCGGCGCCCCCGGAGCTCCCTAAAACGCCCCCGAGTCCTTCAAGCTCTCCTTCTGCAAGTTCGCAAGCCCTTCACTCCTAAGACTGCGTCGCGCCTTCGAGATGCTCCCTCTCGCGCCTCCTTCCTCTCGTCGTCGAGCGCGGGGGAGCGACAATCCTTCGCTCGAAGGACCTCGGCACACTCCCGTCGCCCGCGATCGTCGAGAAGGGAGGTCTCCATTAATGTTTTTTTTTCTTTCTTTACTTGAGAGAGATAAGGTTCTTTTTTTGCTTTACTTTTTTTCTACTTTTGAGGGAATCATCGTGATTGTAGCATCCCTGAGAGAGAGAGAGAGAGAAGGGATGTACTCTACTCTAGAAGGGACCTACACAGTGCGCAGAGACTTGCAAGCGGAGAAGTCGTGAGAGGCGAGAGACAACAGGGGTGAAGAGAGATCGTGGAGGTGGTTCGCACTACACCGAAGTCGCTCATTTTTTTTCCATAATTACGAATTTCTAAACGTTTGCGCGGTGAAACAAGAGATAAAATCCAAATTTGAAAAAGATACTGTTATTATTGCAACAGTTTCATATCTAATGTTTCCTTTAATTTTTATTGGTTGTTTATTAAAATATCAATTAGTTTTTAACATCATTAATTTGTCATTATTTTTAATGAGCGACTGTTTCCATAGTGTGAATCATTCAAGAGATCTAAGGAAGAACGAAAGAGTTCGTAGAAGACATTGCGGGAATACATTCTTTATATTCTGAGAGTGAAAGGAGTCCATTGATATGGATTCTCTACAGTGCTGGGTGATTTTGTTCCTAAAAGACTTGATCAGAGGTGCTTCTTATGATAAATAGAATTGTATGTGCGTGGCTCCCGTATCGCTCCGATGAGAAGAGATATTTTACAAAAGCAGGAAATGATTCGACAATTTTCCTGTAAAGAGAAATAGACTATCTATAAGATAGATGCAAGTTTACCTACGATTTTTAGTACTTTCATCAATGCAGTTTATTAACTAGTCGATCAACTATCGAAATTTAATGCTATGTTATTAGCTAATCAAACAACGATAGAGATTCGCTACTAGAAAGAGCTCAATATAATCCTAAAAGAGAACTACGAACTCTCTACGATATGATACAGGGGAAAGATATAGATCTAAAAGAGCAAAATAATCTAAAGAAATCTAAATATGCAGGGATTGAAAAGTCTAGACATTAAAGTGTTTGCAGAGTAAGGGCTGCAAGATTTTAGAATCTAAATATTTAAGAGTTTAGAAATTTGGAGAGGAAAAACGGGGCAATTTAACAATCTGAGCGATCGGATTTAAGCAAGAATCAGGGATGCACGTGGAAATTTTCATTGCAAATTTGTGTCTTCTACAATTAACTCGTGTGATAACATGTCAAGAATCACTCTCTAAAGAATTGCGACGTTTCCTTCATCCCCTACGCATGCTGCGACTAATAGCTCTGGTCCCGGGTATCCGGGGTTGCCATGGTAACGTTGCAGCTCCTACCCTTTACTTCCTGACCACCCCTTCCTTTTGTAAATGTTACGTGAAAATTCGCGAAGAAATGCGCAGGGAACTTCGAGATAAATTCTTCGAAGCCCAGACTTTGTATTTATAAAGAAGTTAATCAAGTAGCATTACGCGTGTACAGCGCAAATTTATATATAAATATATAAATTTAATATAAAAAATTATGAAAAAACTTTTAATTTCCGCAAACTAATCTGTCTTATACAAAGCATTATAAATAATTTTGCCGTTTTATTAAAGAATGTTACAGTGCAAGAGAGAATTTAAGAATTTATAAATTTATAAATTTAAGAGAAAAACTGAAACAGAGCTTCTAAAGATACAGAATGTAATACTTAAAAATTCTAGACACTACAACTAAAGAATAAAAGCTAAGATTTAGATTAGAAAATGTCACTTTTATAAAAAGTGTTGTGCCAGAGTAGGCAGTTAATCAAAGAGACTAGAAAACTTAAGATTCCAAGAATCCTGAAAAAGCTGTAAGAACTCGGAGAATTGTATAAAATTTCTAAAGAATGTAAGAAAAGGGGTGAAGAACTGAAAATTCGAGTTTCAATTACGGAATCTTGAAGTACGCAATCGCTGTAAAGAGAGAAAGAGAGATGCACAATAGGTCGAGATGAGACAGAGAGAGAGAGAGAGAGAAGGAAGGCTTCGTGAATTTCAAAGGCCGAAAGAATCCGAGAATCGATGAGCGAGATCTGAAAGACCGGAGAAAGAGTGTCATCCAAAATTATCATCCCCTCAAGACGCATGGAAAGGCTCGGGCCAAGCCGACACAGACATGACCTTTGACACATTAACAGTCCTGGTGCGACACGGGGGTTGGAGTCCGACCTACGCAAGAGCTACCATTCATAGAGCACGGGATTACTACGTACAAACGGACAAGGCAGACAGACAGACAGACGGACGGACGGACGGACAGATAATTAGGCCATCCACAGAGGTGGGAAAGGTGCGAGAAGAAGAGAAGAGAGAATTGCCGGTCGCTGATCACCGCACCTTGGTGCTGCATTCGGCAGTTATCACCCCCCCGGCTGTCGCTCCGCTTGTCAACGACGCTCTCCGCTGAGTCGATCGACTGGTCCAAGTATCAACGGCAGTGGCACGTATATCGAACGGTGCCGCACGGACACGAGACGAAGAAGCAGGAGGAAGAGCTCGATCGCGGGGCAGCCTTTCTTTCTTTCTTTCGCTTTACGGTTGCTCTCGCCTTCCGGACTTACGTTTGTCGCGGCTCTTACGCGCCTTCATCGGCCAGCAAGCGCGCAGACTTCCTGCTCGGCCTGCCCCTGATATAACGGCGGCGGGACGGGATTATCGGGATTATTCGATTCACCACCACTGATCGTCGCGACGCATCCCGTGACACGCTGTCCGTAACGAGCAGCTCCGCACGCGCACGGAGCGGTATGAGAGGAACAGATAGAGAGAGACAGAGAGAGAGAGACAACAAAAGGCTGGACCACCACGCAGTTGCGGATGCTGCGCACGGGATACGCCGTTCCGGCCGCTCCGCTGCGGTTGCCGTCCGTCCTTCGCGATGCTGTACGGTGGCTGCGGATGACGTTACACTACGCCGATGGTGCCACACTGAGCCACCGCGGGGGGTCCGTGAGAAAACGTGCCACACGTTGCTTTCAACGCGCAAGTGCGACACGATCTTCGACGGTCGGTGGTAGCGACGACTCGACGAGAACTTCGGGCGAAAAGTTTCGAATCGTTACTTCAAATAACGCCTTCGACCGAAAGGTCGAAGAAACCTTCCCCAAACGCCTAAAAAAAATTATCATTCAGAGGGATTTGCTCGTTTTTTCCGATAGATATAATCGATACCCAAACAAAAAGCACTAAAATAGACTCTACTCCAATGCTTATCACAAGATTAATTGTACCAAACGGATTACTAAACAATTTAAATATATTCCTGCTTCTTCTAATTGAAGAAACTTGTCTCTTTCGATTCGTCTAAAAATTAAAGCAGAATTTCCTTTACAAGTTTTTACCAATAACAGAATTCAGAGAGGTAAAAAAAAAGAGAAAAATATAAATCTTTAGTCACAATCGATCGTTGGAGAAGATTTCCGAGTTCTGAATAAAAGTTGAAAGCTTCAAAACTGAAAGAAGTTTTGAATCTTCTAAAAGGCTTTATCAAAAGAGCCTCGGAAGCCCCGAAGCTCTCGAGAAACGGTAAACAGTGTACGATGTCACGAAACAGGACTGACAGCGTCTCACCCCTAGTCGCTTCATTTGAATTTCGGCTCATCAACAATGTCCTTCCAATAATAACTCCATTATTGAAGTAATCCATCGAAACGTTACCGCAGCCGACAAGTGCCACTCTCTAGTTGTCTCAACTAAAAACCTGGTAATCGTTCGTTGATCCTACAAATGACATGAATGTCAAAGTATTATACTGACGCATATCTAAATGATAAGTTGTCAACTGGAAACAGTATATGTACCAAATGCGAGTAATAACGAAAGTTTCCCTTAGGCTTTTAATATGCACACTCGTTTCAGAGGCTTTTTTCAAGGAAGACAGGCCAGGTGTTTTGCTGCAAGCTGGAAACGCTTAAACGCACGTGACTCGCTTTCTATCCTCATATCGATTCCGTACGAAGGCGAGTCGACGAGGTGAAGCGAATCAGTCCACATTGGATTGCGCAAAAATAGCGGGCGGTTATTAATTCACGGTGTTTTTACGCTTATTTGCGTCACGTATCAGAATGCTAAACGTCGATATCGCCTGAAAGTTGTAATTGGCGCACGTAAAAGCTGCGACATCCCAATTATGGAACAGCAGATAAAGAATCTGTTTCGTGTATCGTCATTCTTGACGCTTCTTCGCGTCGGATAGAATCAATTCTTTCCGCCGGAGAAAGCGTACGTCTAAATTTTTCTAATTTTGTTGAAAAAAAAATCAAATTACGGAGCTAATCCCGATATCCACTCGTTAACACCTTTATCCTTTCTCCCATCTTCCTCGAATTTGCATAAAGTTTCGTCATACGGCATACGTACGTCTGGATCTCGGTCTCGTTGTAAATTTTTTACGAGCCCTCGACAAACTTCTCTCCGTGTAAACAAACTCGCGAGTCGACGTGACGCAAAAGTTGCACGTGGCAAGAACATCCCAGTCCACCTGCGACGCAGTTCACCGATACGCCTCGCCGCGATTTAATTGATACGATTTGTAATTTCTTATTTTAAGGACTTCCTCCCTTCTGCTCTATTTTCTCTCCTCTTCTCGTAACGTTTTCTGCAATGTTATTAGGAACATCGAACGCCCTGGAAACCTGAAAGATGCCGTTTGTCTCATTTAACACTTGACGTCACAAATTAATTAAACTACAGAAACGGAGTAAGGAGAAAACGCAACAATGCCATTAGTCAGCGATTAGATCTAATGCCCGTTTCCACCAATGCAGATTAACGTTAATCTCGTTTAAATTACTTCTTATCTCTTTCTAATTCGTAAAAAATTAATAAAATTGGCATGGCTCAGATGTGTCAAACACAAATTTGAAGGAATAAAGGACCACGAGCCGTGGCAGGGTGTTAGGGTCTAAATATTTTATTCTAAATTTATTGCGAAGAAATATTACCTCGGCCCGGGTGTGAATCTGGACCTCCCTCTCGCTCCCCCTCGACATTCGAATTGGCTGAGACGCCCGCCTAGCGAGAGGGAGGTCCAGATTCACACTCGGGCCGAGGTGATATTTCTTCGCAATAAGTTTAGAATAAAATATTTAGACACTAACACACCCCTGTCACGGCTCGTGGTCCTTTATCTCTTCAAAGATATAAAGTTGAACCGCGAGATTAAAGTTAAACTGCGTTGGTAGAAACGGGTGCAGCTGAGCTTTTTCCCGCATCTGACTGTCACCGTCCATCTCTCACGGAACTCCGCCCCGTCGCGATTAACGAGTGTATCTCGGCAGACGGCGGTTACGGGCGTAGACGTGAGACAGCTCCTCTTTCTTATTTATATGGCTGTCTTTGCAAGAAGAAGACTACGGCCAGCACGACGTCGGACAGCGAGGGAGGACGCAACATGTCAATCCTGTTTCCCAACTGCTCCCATTGGAGAATAGGAGGACCCTTAACTTATTTGTATGGCGCCGGTCTTCTTTAGAACATGGCCAGAAACAACGTCGCTTAACTTTAATCTTACTTTAATTCATGTTTGTCTCCTGCTTGAGTAACAGTTGGAAAGAGACGAAGAATGAATTAAGCCAAGCTTAAAGTTAAGGCAAGTTGTTTCGCGACAGTAATGCTCAAAAGTTTCTTCCAGACGGGAACCAGCGCTCAATTATTACAATGATATATCTTCGTGCAATAATGTTCTAAAGAATACCCTTACGATTAATACATAATATAAAATAGATTCGAAAGATTATAGCTTGAGACGCTGTTGCCACAGCTCTTACAGTACACTCATGTCTACTACATAATTCTTCCCATTTTCAGTTCTGTTTATGTCGTTGAAACGGAACGGTCAATAATTTTGCTCTTCTTTCCAGTTATTCGCTCTATTTTACTTTATGACATATTTGTTTCTCATACAAATCTCACTCACCGTTAAGCTTAAAAAATGTGCCATCATTTGCGTCTGCAAACGCAAATATTAATATTTTAACACATAATAATGTGTGTAAATAATATTTCACGTGTATTATTACAACGAATTATATTACGTGTAATACTTATAACGTGTTTTACACGTAATATTTCGTGTAACATAGCAAACTTTAACTTTTTTTTTTTTAGAATTTTGGGGCGATCAATTTTAATCTAATTAGTCTTATTTTGCACGTGTTATTGTAAAGAATAAACTGCAAAAATTTGAAACAATTCTCGCATAAATGATTTTACGAAATAACCATCTTACATTCAAGACTGTCTCAAGATGATCTTTAGACACTCCGTAGCCAATGAAATGTTCCGTACAGCATCTCTAGATAAATTCAAGACGGTCTTAAATATAAGATCCGACTATGAATACCTAAGTCGCAATGGCGCTTCTCCAACCGACCTATTCGAGCGACTCTTCCAGACTCGTAAGAGGACGCATCTGAGCGCGGCGATCGTCACTTAAGGCCGGTCCGTCATCTCCGGGCCTCGTTTTCTTATTGTTACGTCTATTTCTGCCGATGTAGACTAACTTCAGCATCGATTTGAGGAGCAGTTACAAACAGCGATCGGTTAACTGCTAACAATAGATCAGTCGACACCATTTTCTGTTATCCGCGATATCTAAGAGACAGAGAATCGATTAATCCGGTTCAAGGGCCAGTTTCACAAATAGTTGGTTGACTGCTGAGAGTTAATTGATTCTGTCTCGTCTTAAGCCCGCTGCAGACGATGCTATTTTTCCCGCTGGATTGCTTGCAATCTAATAAATTACTATCGTTGAACCATTCAGCACTCAGGATTCCTAGTAATTCGTTAGATTGCGAGCAATCCAGCAGGAAAAATAGCATCGTCTACAGCGGGCTTTAGATAACACGATAAAAAGTGAGTTGACTGAACTACCGTTAACAGTCTCTTCTTAGATAACAAAATAGAAAAATGGAGTTGACTGAACTCTCGTTAACCGACGTTTGTGAAATTGGCCCTTAAACTATTAAGTAGATAATCTAAAGGAGTCTAGAACGCGAGGAAGACAGCAAGAAGGCGGAAAAACTCGGAGAACAGAATACGGCAAGTGACCGGCAGGTCGACGACGCTCCCTTAGAGGGAAAAACCTAAAAAGAAAAGGATCGATTAACCCACAGTTAGCAGTTAACTGACGTACAATACTTACTCCTCCTCCCAATTCTTAGGTCCTGCGCTCGGTACAGGAGATATTCGAAATAGGAATAAACACCGAGCGTCAGAATGGAGGGAAAGGAAGAGATTGAACCGAGATCAAGATTGATCTACGTTGGCAGAAGTGGACATTAGTTGGCGATTATCGGAGATCGCGCCCCCCGCGGCCGGGATTGGGCGCGTCGCACCTTCCGTTCGCGCGCGATTGGCGGAGGATCCCCCGGGCCGGCGATCAACGACGATCCGCGATCTTCGCGACGGGCAGCCAATCGATGAGCACCGCGGCGTTCGATTCGCCCCGGCCTGCCGCGCCCCTCTCTCCACCCACAGTGGACCCCGGTGGTCCGTGCCACCCATCGATCGTCCTGGGAAATCCTGGTCGCGCCGCGCGTCCCGCTGAGAACGCGACTTTATGGCGTTTCGCGCTAAAAGTCGATCGGCTCGAATTCGAAAATCGGATCGGGGGCGAGCGACGAAGCAGACGAAATTCCGCCATACGACAGCAGCAGCATGAACGTCGGCGGCGACATCGCGCAGCTGTCCTACAAGGAGCTGCAGGCCCTGGCCCTGAGGTACCGCGTCCCGGGTAACATCAAGGTGAGCTGTCGTCGTAGTCGTCGTCGTCGTCATCGTCGCCGGCGATCGTTTCCCGTCCCCGTCCGCTGTGATCCTCGTCGTCGGTTTCCGTTCACCGGGCGACGATTTGTTCCAACGTCCGTTCGAATCCCCCGTCGAAGATCGCGCCCCGATCGCGACCGCCGGTCGTCCCCCCCCGAGTCGCGGGGGCAGCTCGCGGGCGCGTCGAGATCGGCCGGCGGCCTCGCGAGCCGGCGCCGCGACCCCCGATGCGGAATCCCTAACCAAATCTCGGATTCAGGGCGGCTCGAGGTCGCCGTTGTCACCGCGCGGTAACGGATATCCGGCCCGTTCGAACGCCGTCTCGGGCTCGCGTTCGCGACCCGAGTCGTCGCGGGACGATCGCTCGCGTCCGCTTCGCGGCGAGGGGACGAGTCGCCGATTCCTCTCGCCCGTGCAACCCTGACTCGCGATTCCAGGCCGGTACGCGGGATCCTAACCAAGAATCGCGCCCAGTCGGCTGCGAAACGATGTCCGGTCCCCGTTTCTCGCGGATCTCCTGCGTTCGCTCCCCCGTTCCGCCACTCCTTCAAGGTCCGGGACGAGCTTCGCTTCGCTCCGAGCGGCGAGAGACGTGGCGAGACGTGGAAACGGCACAACCGTCGTTTTCGCGTGTCCGCTAGTCTCCCGCAGTCGACGTGGACGATCGCTAATTTCGATTCTTCGCTTTTTCCCTTCGAGATGGCGACGAGATACTTAACTGCGCGTGGCACTGCGAATCGGGAGTCGGCGTCGGCTCCTTCGCGTTCGAGAGCGGAAGATGAGAAGGAGAGGAAGCGCGCGCCCGGACGCCTCGGATTTGCGGCGCCCAACGCAGGGCCGTCGTCGGCCCGAAAAACTGATCGCCGATCGAGTCGCAGAATGCTCGTGTATGAATATATTGTATGAATATATTAGCCGCGATTCTCCTGTAAATCTTGTACCGCTGATCTGAGTGCGAAATTCTTTCGCTTCTACAATACCAGAACTGCGCTTACTGCCGCCCGCGACCTCGAGACGCTTCCAAAGTCTCGTTTATCAGATTTCCAACTTTCTCGCTGGCGGAAGGCCTCTTTCGCCAGCCTCGGTTGGATCAGGCAGATGATGAAGGATAATCACCTTTGCTTATTTTTTTTTCTTCTTCGGCACTCTGCAAATTTTCTTCGTCGTTTAATCACCGAAGTTGGTGAAAGAGACGCCAAGGAAAATGAAAAAGTCAAGATGATGTCATATTGATCAAATTTACGTCACATTTTGGTCAGCGTGACATCAAATTGACGTCATCTTGGGTTTGTTTTCTGTTCCTGCACTGGCGAACTAGTGCAGTAAGCTAGAATGAGAAAAAATATGCTTGTCTTACTCCAATTTATTGCACTAGTTCACTAGTGTAGGAACAGAAAACAAGCCTTAAGTTTTTGTCTTTTCCCAATTGCTGGTGAGTTACACCAAGACCGAAGTTAAATCTTTATGCCAATGTCCATTTCTATCAATGCGGATTAATTTCGAATCCTTGGGTGCGTTCCGTTTCGCGCATGATGCGCATCATTT